TGAGTCATTTCCTTTGAAGCAGGTTTTTATGGGCTCTTGAGTCATTTTGTTGGAAGCGGGTTTTTATGTGCTCTTGTGTCATTTTCTAGGAAGCGGGTTTTTATGTGCTCTTGAGTCATTTCATTGGAAGCGGGTTTTTATGTGTTCTTGAGTCATTTCGTTGGAAGCCAGTTTTTATGTACTTCTAAGTCTTCTCGTTGGAAGCGGGTTTTTATGTACTCTTGAGTCATTTCTTTGGAAATGGGTTTTTATGTGCTCTTGAGTCTTTTTTTTTGGAAGCGGGTTTGTTTGTGCTCTTGAGTCATTTCGTGCAATCATGTTTTTATGTGCTCTTCAGTCTTTTTGTTGGAAATGGGTTTTTATGTGCTCCTCTGAGTTTTCATCAGAAACAGGTTTTTATGTGCTCCACTGAGTTTTCGTCGGAAACGGGTTTTTACATGCGCTTGAATCATTTCACTGGAAGCGGGTTTTTATTTGCTCAGGAGTCATTTCTTTGGAAGGGGTTTTTTAATGTGCTTCTGAGTCATTTCGTTGGAAGCAGGTTTTTATGTGCTCAGGAGTCCTTTCTTTGGATGCGGTTTTTATGTGCTCTGAAGTCATTTCATTGAAAGCCGGTTTTTATGTGCTCAGGAGTCATTTCTTTGGAAGGGGTTTTTTTATGTGCTCCTTAGTCATTTCGTTGGAAGCAGGTGTTTATGTGCTCAGGAATCCTTTCTTTGGATGCGGGTTTTTACATGCTCTGGAGTATTTCATTGGAAGTGGGTGTTTATGTGCTCTTGAGTCATTTCTTTGGAAGCGGGTTTTTATGTGCTCTTGAGTCATTTGGTTGGAAGCGGGTTTTTATGTGCTCCTGAGTCATTTGGTTGGAAACGGGTTTTTATGTGCTCTTGAGTCATTTAGTTTGAACCAGGTTTTTATGCTCGACTCCAAAAGATATCAGTTTACATTTTTCCACTTGATGTAGTTAATCAGGCGACATGTATGGGTTTCAGTTTACAACGCTGCACATTGTGTTTCTTTTATTTTGGTGGAAACAGGTGTTTGTGCTCTACTCCATCAGATACCAGTTTACAGTTTTCTAATTGACATAGTGAATCAGGCAACATGTATCTATTTTAGTTTACGAAAATATGCTTTTTGTTTTTCTTCTTTCGTTGGAAAAGTTTTTCTGTGCTCTATTGAATGAGATATCATTTTTCTATTTTCCTCTCAACTTAGTTAATCAGGTGACACGTATGTGTTTCAGTTTATAATGCTGTGCATTGTGTTTATTTTCTTTCATTGGAAACGGATGTTTTTCTCTACTCCAGCAGATATCATTTTACAGTTTTCTAATTTAAGTAGTTAATCAGGCGACACATATGAGGTTTAGTTTACAAGGCTATGCTTTGCATTTCTGTTCTTTCGTTGGAAACTAGTTTTTATGCTCTACATTGTGAGATGTCACTTTTCTGTTTTGTTCTACACCTAGTAAATCAGGCGACACATATTTCTTTCAGTTTACAATGCTGTGCATTGTGTTTCTTTTTTTCATTGGAAACAGGTGATTGTGCTCTACTCCATCAGATATCAGTTTACAGCTTTCTAATTGACGTAGTTAATCAGGCTACAGGTATGTGTTTTAGTTTACAAAGCTGTGCTTTGAGTTTCTGTTCTTTCATTGGAAACGGGTTTCTGTGGTCTTCTCCATCAAATACTAGTTTACAGTTTTCCACCTGAAGTAGTTAATAAGGCGATATGTGTTTGTTTTAGTTTATGACACTATGCTTTGCTTTTCTGTTCTTTCGTTGGTAACTTTTTTCTGTGCTCTACAGTGTGAGATATCACTTTTCTGTTTTCTTCTACACCTAGTTATTCTGGTGACATGTATGTGTTTCAGTTTACAAAGCTGTGCAATGCGTTTATATTCTTTCGTTGGAAACGGATTTCTGTGCTGCACAGTGTGTAAAATCACTTTTCTGTTTGCTTTCAAACCTAGTTAGTCAGGCGACACATATGCGTTTTAGTTTTCAATGCTGTGCTTGTGTTTCTGTTCTTTTCTTTGGAAATGGGTTTCTGTGCTTTAAAACATGAGATATCATTTTTATGTTTTCCTCTCAACTTAGTTAATCAGGTGACATGTGTTTGTTTTAGTTTACAACGCTGTGTTTTGAGTTTCTGTTCTTTCGTTGGAAATGGGTTTCTGTGCTCTACTCCATCAGATATTAGTTTACAATTTTCCACTTGATGTAGTTAATCAGGCGATACGTATGTGTTTTAGTTTACAACACTAAGCTTTGCGTTTCTGTTCTTTCTTTGGAAACTGGTTTCTGTGCTCTACAGTGTGAGATAACACTTTTTTATTTTAATCTAAACCTAGTTAATCAGGTGACACATATGTGCTTTAGTTTACAAGACTATGTTTGCTTTTCTCTTCTTTCATTGGAAACGGGTTTCTGTGCTCTACTCCTTCATATATCAGTTTACAGTTTTCCACTTGACGTAGTTAATCAGGCGACATGTATGTGTTTTAGTTTAAAACGCTGGGCTTTGTGCTTCTGATCTTTTCGTTGGAAACAGGTTTCTGTGCTTTAGAACGTGAGATATCATTTTTATGTTTTCCTCTCAACTTAGTTAATCATGAGACATGTATGTGATTTAATTTACAATGCTGTGCATTGAGTTTCTGTTCTTTTTTTGGAAACGGGTTTCTGTGCTTAACTCCATCAGATATTAATTTACAGTTTTCCACTTGTAGTTAATCTGGCGATGGATATGTGTTTCAGTTTACAATGCTGTGCATTATGTTTCTTTTCTTTCTTGAAAACAGGTGTTTGTGCTCTACTCCATCAGATATCAGTTTACAGTTTTCTGATTGATGTAGTTAATCAGGCTTCACGTAATTACTTTAGTTTACAATGCTAAGATTTGCGTTTCTGTTCTGTCATTGGAAAAGGGTTTCTGTGCTCTACAGTGTGAGATATCACTTTTCTGTTTTCTTCTATACCTAGTTAATCAGGCGATACATATGTGTTTTCATTTACAATGCTATGCTTTGTGTTTCTGTTCTTTTCATTGGAAACGGGATTCTGTGCTTTAAACTGTGATATATCATTTTTATGTTTTCCTCTCAACTTAATCAGGCGACAGTTATATGATTTAGTTTACAACGCTGTGCATTGAGATTCTCTTCTTTCTTTGGAAATGGGTTTCTGTGCTCTACTTCTTCAGATATCAGTTTACAATTTTACACTTGACATAGTTAATCAGGTGACTCCTATGTGTTTTAATTTACAACACTAAGCTTTGCGTTTCTGTTCTTTCATTGGAAACTTGTTTCTAAGCTCTACAGTGTGACATATCACTTATCTTTTCTTCTCAACATAGTAAATCAGGCAACACGTATGTGTTTTAGTTTACAATGCTGTGCTTTGCATTTCTATTCTTTCGTTGGAAACTGGTTTCTGTGCTCTACTGAATGAGATATCATTTTTCAGTTTTCAACTTGACATAGTTAATCAGGTGACACCTATATGTTTCAGTTTACAATGCTGTGCATTGCATTTCTATTCTTTCTTTGGAAACGGGTTTTTGTGCTCTACTCCTTCAGATATCAGTTTTCTGTTTTCTTCTACACCTAGTTAATCAGGTGACATGTTGTGTTTTAGTTTACAATGCTGTGAGTTGAGTTTCTGTTCTTTCGTTGGAAACGGGTTTCTGTGCTCTACTCCATCAGATATTAGTTGACAATTTCCACTTGACGTAGTTAATCAGGCGACACATATGTGTTTTAGTTTACAACGATAAAATTTGCGATTCTGTTCTTTCTTTGGAAACTGGTTTCTGTGCTCTACTGTGTCACTTTTCTGTTTTCTTCTAAACCTAGTTTAGAAGAAATATCGCTTTTCTGTTTTCTTCTAAACCTAGTTAATCAGTCGACATATATGTGTTTTAGTTTCAATGCTAAGCTTTGCGTTTCTGTTCTTTCATTGGAAACTGGTTTCTGTGCTCTACAAGGTGAGATATAACTTTTGTGTTTTAGATATCACTTTTCTCTTTTACTCTAAACCTACTTAATCAGGCGACACCTATGTGTTTCAGTTTACAACACTAAGCTTTGCATTACTGTTCTTTCGTTGGAAACGTGTTTTTGTGCTCTACTCATTCAGATATCAGTTTACAGTTACCCACTTGATGTAGTTAAATAGGCAACATGTATGTGTTTTAGTTTACAACACTAAATTTTGTGTTTCTGTTCTTTTGTTGGAAACGGTTTCTGTGCTCTACAGTGTGAGATATCACTTTTCTGTTTTCTTCTAAACCTAGTTAATAAGGTGACACGTATGTGTTTCGGTTTACAACGCTGTGAATTGAGTTTCTCTTCTTCCATTTGAAACGGGTTCTGGTGCTATACTCCATCAGATATTAGCTTAAAGTTTTCCACTTGATGTCGTTAATCAGGCGACACGTATGTGTTTTAGTTTACAACACTAAGCTTTGTGTTTCTGGTCTTTCGATGGAAACGGGTTTTTGTGCTCTACTCCTTCAGATATCAGTTTACAGTTATCCACTTGAAGTAGTTAAACAAGGGACACGTATGTGTTTTAGTTTACAACACTAACTTTTGTGTTTCTGTTCTTACGTTGGAAAATGCTTTCTGTGCTCTACAGTGTGAGATATCACTTTTCTGTTTTCTTCTACACCTAGTTAATCAGGCGACACCTATGTGTTTTAGTTTACAATGCTAAGCTTTGCATTTCTGTTCTTTCTGTTTTTTTTTCTAACACTAGTTTATAGGGTGACACTTATATGCTTTAGTTTACAACACTAAGCTTTGCGTTTCTGGTCTTTCGCTGAAAAATGGTTTCTATGCTATACAGTGTGAGATATCAAGTTTCTGTTTTCTTCTAAACCTAATTAATCAGGCGACACATATGTGTTTTACGTTACAATGCTAAGCTTTGCATATCTGTTCTTTCTTTGCAAAAGCGTTTCTGTGCTCCACACTGTTAGATATCACTTTTCTGTTTTTTTCTAAGCCTAGTTAATCTGGCGACAACAGAAACCAGTTTCTAACGAAACAAACGGAAAGCTTATGGTTGTAAACTGAAACACGTATATGTAACCTGATTAACTAGGTTTAGAAGAAAACAGAAAAGTGATATCTCACACAGTAGAGCACAGAAAGCAGTTTCAAACGAAAGAACAGAAACGCAAATTTAGTGCTGTAAACTAAAACACATACGTGTCGCCTGTAAAACTACATTAAGAGGACAACTGTAAAATGATATCTGAAAAAGTAGAGCACAAAAACCAGTTTCCAATGAAATAACAGAAACGCAAAGGTTAGTCTTGTAAACTAAAACACATATGTGTCGCCTGATTAACTACGTTTAGAATAAAACAAAAAAGTGATATCTCACACTGTAGAGCACAGAAACCAGTTTGCAACAAAAGAATTGAAATTTGAATCTTAGTGTTTTAAAATGAAACACATATGTGTCGCCTGATTAACGAGGTTTAGAAAAAAACAAAAAAGTGATATCTCACACTGTAGAGCACACAAACCAGTTTCCAACAAAAGAACAGAAACCAAACCTTGGCGTTGTTAACAAAGCACATATGTGTCGCCTGATTAACTAGACTGAGAAGAAAACAGAAAAGCGATATCTCACAATGTAGAGCACAGAAACAGTTTTCCAACGAAAGAACAGAAACGCAAAGCTTAAACAGGTATGAGTCACCTGATTAACTAGGTTTAGAAGAAAACAGAAAAGAGATATATCACAATATAGAGCACAGAAACCACTTTCCAACAAATAGAAATGCGAATCTTAGCGTTGTAAACTGAAACACATATTTGTCGCTTGATTTCCTAGGTTTAGAGTAAAACACCAAAGTGATATCTCACACTGTAGAGCACAGAAACCTGTTTCCAACAAAAGAACAGAAAGGCATAACTTAGTAATGTAAACTAAAACACGTATGTGTTGCCTGATTAAGTAGGTTTAGATTAAAACAAAAAAGTGATATCTCGCAATGTAGAGCACAAAATCCAATTTCCAAAGAAAGAACTGAAATGCAAAGCTTAGCGTTGTAAACTAATACAGAAGTGTGTCGCCTGATTAACTAGGTTTAGAAGAAAAAAGAAAGGGTATATCTCACACTGTATAGCACAGAAACCCTTTTCCAACGAAAGAACAGAAACACAAAGATTAGTGTTGTCAACTATAACACATACATGTCGAATGAGTAACTACGTTTTGATTACAAAAAAAAAAGATATCTCACACTGTAGAGCACCGAAACAAGTTTCCAACAAAAGAACCGAAATGCAAAGCTTGGCGTTGTAAACAGAAAGACATTTGTGTCGCCTATTTAACTAGGTTTAGAGTAAAACACAAAGTGATACCTCACACTATAGATCACAGAAACCAGTTTCCAATGAAAGAACAGAAATGCAAATCTTAGCGTTGAAAACTAAAACACATACGTGTCGCCTGATTAACTACATCACGTGGAAAACTGTAAAGTGTTATCTGAAGAAGTAGAACACAAAAACCTGTTTCCAACGAAAGAACAAAAACTCAAAACTTCGGTTTTAAAATAAAGCACATATGTGTCGCCTGATTAACTACGTTTAGAAGAAAATAGAAAAGGGACATCTCACAATGTAGAGCACAGAAACCCTTTTCCAAAGAAAGAACAGAAACGCAAAGCTTGCCGTTGTAAACTAAAACACTTATGTCTCGCCTGATTAACATAGCATTGTAAACTGAAACACATATGTGTCGCCTGAATAACTAGGTTTAGATTAAAAGAAAAAAGTCATATCTTGCACTGTAGAACACAGAAACCAGTTTGCAACAAAAGAACTGAAATGCGAAGCTTAGCGTTGTAAACTGAAACACATATGTGGCGCCTAATTAACTAGGTTTAGAAGAAGACAAAAAAGTGATATCTCTCAATGTAGAGCACAGAAACCAGTTTCCAACTAAAGAACAGAAAAGCAAAGCTTAGCGTTGTAAACTAAAACACATACGTGTCACCTGATTAACTAGGATTACATTAAAACAAAAAAGTGATATCTCGCACTGTAGAGCACAGAAACCAGTTTGCAACAAAAGAACTGAAATGTGAAGCTTGGCGTTGTAAACTGAAACACATATGTGTCGCCTGATTAACTAGGTTTAGATTAAAACAAAAAAGTGATATCGCACACTCTAGAGCACAGAATCCAGTTTGCAACAAAAGAACTTCAATGCAAAGCTTAGCGTTGTAAACTCAAACACATATGTGTTGCTTGATTAACTAGGTTTAGAGTAAAACACAAAATGATATCTCACAATATAGAGCACAGAAACCCTTTTTCAAAGATAGAACAGAAATGCGAAGCTTAGAGTTGTAAATTGAAACACATATATGTCACCTGATTAACTAGGCTGAGAAGAAAGTAGAAAAGTGATATCTCACAATGTAGAGCACAGAAACCAGTTTCCTAAGAAAGATCAGAAACGCAAAACTTAGCATTGTAAACTGAAATACATATGTGTCGCCTGATTAACTAGGTTTAGAAGAATACAGGAAAGGTATACCTCACACTGTAGAGCACAGAAACCAGTTTCCAAAGAAAGAAGAGAAAAGCAAAGCTTTATGTTGTAAACTAAAACATATACGTGTCGCCTGATTAACTACGTTTAGATTAAAACAAAAAAAGTGATATCTCGCAATGTAGAGCACAGAATCCAGTTTCCTACGAAAGAACTGAAATGCAAAGCTTAGGGTTGTGAACTGAAACACATATGTGTTGCTTGATTAACTAGGTATTAATTAAAACACAAAAGTGATATCTCACAATATAGAGCACAGAAACCCTTTTTCAAAGATAGAACAGAAATG